AAAAATATTCTTAAACTAAGCATCAAATCTACAAAAAGGATAGCAAGTAGGTCAAGCAAACTGGATAACAAAAGATTTAGGCTCATGGCTATATGATTTATTGCTTTTGCTTTCACATATATCATTAAATATTATTGTCACATCAACATACGAAACAGCAAGAGGTTAAATGGAAACAGATGTTACCGCAGCCAAAGCATCAAGTCTCAAGGTCATCATCATCACTGTATGAGCCAGTAATAAAAGTGGTCATTTTGCTGTCACAGATGGTCATATTTTTGATTTCGTTCCACTTCAAAACCTCACTTATTCATTCAGAATTTAAAATCTCGTTAAAACTACATTATCAAAAGGAATTTTCGAATGAATGAAATGAATCGTTCCACTTTTACATTGATCATACATATCTGTCAGTAGCTATCAGAAGTGAACTGATATGTGACATGCATGATAAGGGGAATAAATGGATGAATAGCCAAGTAATGTCGATGAACTACGGTAAACTGAACTATGATAGAAAAATAAATTAAGAAAGGATTAACAAAATGACTTCCGTATAAACTGATACCGTCTGTAATTTATATAAGCAAAAAAGGGAAAAAGAAACCATAAATTTATCAAAAATTCGACTCCGAATTATTCCAAATTATGCATTATTAATTGAAGATAAAATTAGGAATCAATTTTAAATTTTAAATTCCAAACGCACTTTGCAGTTTACATAAAGGAAATACCTTTATTATACTTTCTAGGTGTACGAAAAAATAGTTTCAAATTAATGCAGAACTTAAATTTGAAAATTCTCTGCCTTTATCGAAAAAAAAAGAAATTGAATGTTATGTTTTAAAAAAACACATAAAGAAAGAGTATGATACATTAGCAATAAGTTTAAAAAGAAAAATATAACAAAAATGGAAATTGAATATATTGGAAGAGACTGAGTTATCGATTCTTTCCAAAAAAGCTGCAACATTTGATTGGATGATAATATATACAAACAGGACTGCTAAAACTTGCATAAATGCATAACATTTTCTATGTACTTAATTTAAAAATGGAAGGAAATGAGAGAAATTAAGAACTTGAATAGAAGAAAAAATTCAAATTAAATAAAATGCAATCAATTTGTTCCCAAAATATTCTTTCAACATTGAACGAGTGGAAAACATGCATTTAAAAAGTGTTATTTGCTTTTGAATGGGAGGTTTTTTATATTCTTTCAGTAAGCATCGGAACTAATCAAGGACGAGAGATTCAAATTTCAGCAAAAAATTACGATCAATATTTCGCTAGCTCACATTATGCCCAATGAAAAATGATATCTCGTTTGGAATAGATGAAATACTGAAAAGAAAAATCTCCAATAAAAAAGTTCAAATTCTTGGTCAATGGTCAGCGGTCAGTTAGCATTGACTATGATGAAGATTGAGATAAAAATGTCAAAAAAGAAGAAGGCTTAAAACGATAAATTATTGGTGTTAGTATTTACATTCATACAATTAACTTTTTTTATTTTGCAATTCTTGATCCCAAAATTTCGAATCAAACAAAGAAAAAAAACAGGATTAATTACGGACATGCAATAATTTAGAATAGTTCATTAAAAAAAAAAAAGAAAGGAAAACAAATAACAAATGATAACAACGTTTGTAAACAAAGAACGATAATAAATGGAAGAAAGAATGATACATACCCTGTATTGTCCTCTGGAAGCATCGATCACACTCATCAATTTATCACGATATTTGTAAAGTTTATAGGCTAACATAACACTCTTTTTCGAGCATACTGCCTCAGGTGTAACCTTTAATTCGTCCACCTGTCCGATTCCTGTTATCGTTGATAGGCTTGTATCATCCGATAACACCTTTTGATTTCGCGAATAATCACAATCAAATGTACGCCCAATTCGTAATGATTGTAAAGTACAAGCCATTTGTCAAATTTCGTGGGATAGTTTCGAAGTGATGAAAGAAAGAAATAGAGGGAGAGAAAAAAAGATGAAATACTAGTCGATGAGTTGTCTTTTCCTTCTTTTCTTTTTTTTTTTAAACCATTTCAGTGAAGTGACCGAAAATGGATGATGCACGAATCACAGTGGCAAATATTGTTGTTTGCCTCTTCCATTTGTCGATAATGTGATGGAAATTCAAATTGTGTCGGCAAATATGTATATATATGCAATTGAAATTTATGAAAATTTCAAATAGCAAAAGAAATAATGAAACGTAACGATTGAAATTCCGGAATATCGTAGTTCACCGGAGTTTGTGACACCTAGAAGGAATGCTGTTATGATACAAAACTCTTTTTTCTTTTTCAAGTATGAACTGAAATAGCACTTTAAAATTTCAATCAAATTAAATCAGTAAATATGCAAAATGGTCGATTCAGTTAGCTAACAACAAGTGTGGAATGCGTTTGTGGTCGTTATAGTCCCGTAACTAAGTAACAGGATGGATACCTTGTTAGTAGCAACCGATCTCTGCTATACATATTCATTCATCATCACAGTGCTGAATACTAACAATACGCATTTGAAAAGGAGCAGGTAATATGAAATGATTAAATAGGAGATCGATAGATATTGTTCAGGTAAATAAAACCTAATATAAGCGAGAAATAAGATTTAATTGAGATGAGCTTGACGACAAATGTGACACGAAATGTAGGAGGAATAAATAATGGTTGAAAGGGTTGTTTTAAGCAAATGCTGAAGTGAAGAGGGAATAATTGACAGCTGAAGTCAAATGAGGAATGGAAGAGTGAAGAGGACTGGAAGGGAAGGTTAATGATCGGAGAAGAGGTTAAACACTGAGGATGACAAAATAGAAATGACAACGACGAAGAATGAAGCGCATCCAAAACTAACTAAACCCAATAAACCCCTGTCATGGGTAACGATTAAACGGACAGTAGAGAGGACCTTGGAAATAACCTACTGTAAATTCAATATGAATAAGACTAAGCTTCCTACTCAAACAAATATGTTTATTAGATATCTGTGATAATAATCATGAAATTAGGAAAGCATGAAGTGAGAATGACATGTTACAAATCATAGACCTATTGTGATTTCTTCTAGACATTGATTAATTTTCTTGATCTCTTTAATCGTTCTCCTTTACAAATAAATCTTTATATTCAGAGTTTTGAATAAATTTCGTATGGATTAATAACAAGGTAAATTTGCCTGTCTTTTTTTTTGCTACCTTTTAGTAATCGAACTGAAACGAAACTATGATCATGAACTATGGATAATATCTCGATGGAATAAGCTACAGATGAACATCCTTATAAAATAATCTACAGGTGAATATCCCGATAAAATGGTCGACAAATGAATAACCTGATGAAATACGCTACCGATGAATATCTGATTCCAAAATAAATTGAATATTTTCACTGAACAGAGAAAAAAATTCCATGAAGAATGTTGGAATAAGTGTGAAGAAAAAAAGGATTGTTTGTGTGACTGATTTTCATGATAAATTTGTATTGTTTTTCCTTTTTTTCATTTTGTTAAATGAAAAGAAACGATTAGAAATTAATATTTTTCATCTTTTTAACAATTTGTTCAATACCTTTTTCGACACTTTCTTTCTTTCTTATTTTATAAAGAGAGAAGGGAAGAAAAAAACAAAAAAAAAACTTGATCATAGATAGATAAGATAGAATTATTTTGCAGAACTTTTCCTTAAATTATCAAATTTATCAATAGGGTCATCATCAAATATAAACAGATTAAAAACAAACTATAAAAAAGTGGGATATGAGAGAGGGAAAAGAGAAAGAATGTGATAAAGAGGAGAGTGGAATTACTGGGGAGATAATTGGAGGATACAAGGACATCAAATAGGAATCGATTTTTCTAAAATTAAAAAAAAATTTTTAAACAGAATAACAGTTATATTCCACATAATGATATATGTATATGAAATTAATCTATACATTTTAGGCATTTTAGGTATTAATTGATGTATCTCTGTGATAAGTTTTATTCAATCTTAACATTTTTTGTTATAGACAGACAAAAAAAACCAAAAAGAAAAATTGAAATAACCGAAAATTAACAAACAAACAATTGCAAACGATATGTGCAAATCATTCACTTCAAAGCGGAAATGTGGAATTTCTTGGACAAAAAGAAGGAGCAGAAAATATCTTTTCATTAGTAAATAAAAAAATTAAATTTTTCTGTAAAGAAAGATAGAGAAGAGAAAGGAAGCAAGGAATGATGATGACCAGATAATGTTGTTTTTCCGGGGATGATAATAAAACTAAAATAAAATCCTCAAAAGTCTACTACTTCATTCTTTCCGAAGATGGCAGCCTTTTTTCACTTTTCTTAAAAAATTTTTTCGAAATGAAATTTATGATTTTTCATTCAAACATAAATGTAATGACAATGAAGAAAGATAATTAATTAATAAGTTTCACTCATTATTTGCTCGTTTAATGCAATATCAAACTGTAATGCTTCAGTTCACTTTAGAATCTTAGCAATTTTAGTCTTGAGCATTGTGGGATGAGTAGTAATTTATAACCATTTAACATCCATTGCTGTCATCTTTAATGAATTCAAAAGACAGCAATGGTAAAACTGACCAATTTCATACACTTACCTTAGCAAGGTAGATATTATGAAATGTATTAAATTAATAAGTGGTACACCTATGATATTTCATAATGTTTGGGAAATTCTAAATGTAAGCGTTATTTGTCCGATTGATTCAAATTATATAATCCGTTAAAAAAACTGGTAATTGTAAAAAGAAAAGCGGGATTTATTGTGAGGTAAGCTATAGAGGAGGTACCGAGATATCTAGGATTTATTATCGATATGATGATATTAAGTTAATCTCTCGCATCCTTTTTGCTCTTCACGTATTATCATCCGGAAAGCTGAATCACTGACCTATTTATCATATAATTCACATGATACTGAAAAGATATTCTGAGGACAAAAAAGAATTGCTGGTAATTTGCGCTAAATGCTGATGGCTGATCAAATCACACGCTCCACACTATGTATATGTGCGGACAGGGGAAGACATATGCAACACACACGCACACACGTACACACACACACAGACACACATACACGCACACATATACATACGCACACACCGCCACGCACACACACCCAAACAGACAGATAGACGCACAGAGAAAGTTTGAAAAAAAAGTATGATGAAGGATGATTTTCTGTGTTCTGTTTTTCCTTCCTTTTCAAGCAAAGACAAAGAGAAGGTTTAGAGAGTTATGAAATAATCAAAATTTTCAGTATTTTGAAACAGTAACCAATCCATTTAAACTGTTGCATCCGTTAAATCTAATTGTAGAAACCAACTGATAATAATGAAAAGGTCAAATTTTGAAACAAACTAGATCAATTCCACAAAATATACTAAGATTCAGACTTTTTGTCTTTTTTTAGTGAACACAGTCTCTAAGGACTGGAATGGTAAAACACTGTGACAGTAAAAGAGATGCTTAAAATTCTGAAGTTACTACAGTAATAGAAATGTCTGGAATGTTAATTTGCTGTTGAAGTATTGAGAATTTGTCTAGTCATGACCAAATGTTATTGCAAAAGCTTTCCAGATTTACGTTTGAACAAGAATTATCGATATACTGCATTTTTCGCTTATGGAGTATGAATGGAAAGAGAAAAACTGAATTTTTCTTAAAATTTATATTCTAAACTTCTAACCTACTCTGTTTAAATGTATCAGTTTCAAAGCGTTGACAAAATCTGCAGTTGAAATTAAAATAAGAAAATCATTTGTCCTGAGGATTTTCATCAAAATTATCAGTAATTAATGCCAATGAACAATAAGTAACAAATTTAAATATAGTTCACGTGTGAATTGTGACAAATAAATGATGCGCAATTCCCTTCCCTTCCATTTTCCCTCTCACCCCAATTCATCCAAAACTGGTTCCAACAACAATAATAAAAAGCTGATACCAAAAAATTTGAAATTTAAAAATTATGGTTGAACGAAGAAGAAGGGAAGCAGCAACATTGCTATAACCCGCTTTGAAGACAGATGCAAAGAAGGAAAAGACAGGTGGAAAAGCGTTATCCGGCATCAATGACCTCCAAAATAAACTAACAGAAAAAGAAAAAAGGTGGGGAAAAATAGGACAGGAATCATTTCCCAAAAATGATATTTCTCTGAAACGTCAAAAAAAACAGATGGTTTTCAGATGTGACGAATTTTTACGAGTTAAATTGAGGATGTTAGGAAAAAAGCTTTCAATTCATTTCAAAACGAATCATTTACAAGTGAATTGATCAGGAAAATCACTTCCAGCTTGAAAGCATTCTAAAATTATAGTATATATATATATATATGCTACCACGAAACAGTGCAAAGAGATGAAATACGAGAGCGGTAAATCCATCTATTCCAGACCAGTGAATAGTAGTAAGAAATTGTTAAGCAATACTGATGAGGAAATGAAGGATGAATGTTATAAAATTTGTTTTGAGTTGTAAACATAGGAAGATCGATTAAAGTTGAAAAATTGAAATTAAAAGTTATTGGGGTTATTGACCGAAAAGTTATACTTTTGATAATAGAATTTTTATACAACAAGAAAAGTGATAAATTAAATATTCCTGAAATGTCAAGAAAGTCATCATCAAAAAAAGAAACTCTTTGCCTGGGACGCAAAATTAGTTTTAAAATGATCAAATGAATAATACTTCGAATAAATTATTATCAAAAACCATAAAAAGTAATCAGTTATATTATTATAACTGGAAGCGAATATCGGTTAAAGTCGAATAACAATCATTTTAAAAAATACTGAAACTTTATATTTAATATGTAGCATGAGGCTTAAAATTTGGTACTGTTTTTGGTACTAATTTGGTACTAAAACAATTTGAAAAGTCTGAAGTTAACTTGAGAAGTTATTCTAAAAATGAGAATAATTTATGAGTGAGCAATGTGTTGTCAAATATCTATTGTTAAATTAATTGGTAAATATCTTAAATATCCAAGTCATCCACTTCGATATTTATTGGCTTAAGTTTCTCCTTATTTTTGACTTTTTTTGCATAAGTAATCATTGATCTTAAAAATTAATAAATCCTAATTTGGATAAAATGATCATCTGCATGTCTAAAATGCTTATTATAATCATCTTCTCACTAATTAAAACTACTTTCTGACTATTAATAACCATCTTTCTGTTACTATTGTTCCACTCAGCGATGAATAATAATGTTAACCTACCAATAATAATAGTAATAATTAATAATAATTAACAATAGTAATAATAATAATAACAACAATAATAACAATAATAATAATAATAACAACAATAATAATAATAATAGTAATAATAATAGTAACATAATAGT